TCACAGAGGTGTTGTTCCTTCATTGCCATTTTTTTTCAAACCAATAGTATCTGTGCAGAGCAATGTTGTCTTGCCTGTGTATAAGTATGTGTTTGAGATTAAGAGCTTGACTCCATTAGTAGCTTAGTTGTTAACCATCTTTGCCACGTGTTCAGAGGTATTTTGGAGTTCATTACAGAAATCTGGTGGACATCTCTTTTATACTGGACAGTTGTACAAAAGACTTGGTTCAGTTCATGGACTTGATTACCAGTGCACCCCTCCTTTCAGAGTTGTAACACATATGATAAGCTGCCTTGTCCAAAGCAGTGGAATCAGAAGACACTGACAGTTCTCAAACAGAATTACATTAAAAAATAATTTCATAAGCAATAACTCTGTGAATGACTGTTTAATCAATAGAACAGCAAACCTCCCAGGAAGATGGCGGAAACAGTTAATATTGATTCATTTAAATAACAATTGGACTTCTTTCTGATAATAACATTTAGGGCTCACTATATGATTATTTTTTTCTATTCATTTGTGGGATGTGGGCGTCGCTGGCTGGCCAGCATTTCTTGCCCATCCCGAGTTGCCCTTGAGAAGGTGGCGGTGAGCTGCCTTCTTGAACCACTGCAGTCCACCTGCTGTGGGTTGACCCACAATGCCATTAGGGAGGGAATTCCAGGATTTTGACCCAGCAACAGTGAAGGAACAGCGATATATTCCAAATCAGGATGGTGAGTGGCTTGGAGGAGAACTTGCAGGTGGTGGTGTTTTCATATATCTGCTGCCCTTGTCCTTCTAGATGGAAGTGGTTGCGGGTTTGGAAGGTTCTGTCTGAGGATCTTTGGTGAATTTCTGCAGTGCATCTTGTAGATAGTACACACTGCTGCTACAAGTAGATGCTTGTAGATGTAGTGCCAATCAAGTGGGCTGCTTTGTCCTGGATGGTGTCAAGCTTCTTGAGTGTTGTTGGGGCTGCACTCATCCAGGCAAGTGGGGAGTATTCCATCACACTCCTGACTTGTGCCTTGTAGATGGTGGACAGGCTTTGAGGAGTCAGGAGGTGAGTTACTTGCCACAGTATTCCTAGCTTCTGACCTGCTCTTGTAGCCATTTGTGTTTATGTGGTGAGTCCAGTTGAGTTTCTGGTCAATGGTAACCCCCAGGATGTTGATAGGGGGGAGATTCAGTGATGGTAACACCATTGAATGTCAAGGGGCGGTGGTTAGATTGTGCCTTATTGGTGATGTTCATAGCCTGCCATTTGTGTGGCGCAAATGTCACTTGCCACTTGTCAGCCCAAGCCTGGATATTGTTCAGATTTTGTCACATTTGGACACAGTCTGTTTCAGTATCTGAGGAGTCATGAATGGTGTTGAACACTGTGCAATCATCAGCGAACATCCCCACCTCTGACCTTATGATGGAGGGAAGGTCATTGATGAAGCAGCTGAAGATGATTGGGCCTAGGACACTATCCTGAGGAACTCCTGCAGAGATGTCCCAAAGCTGAGATGATTAACCTCCAACAACCACTACCATCTTCCGATGTGTCAGGTATGTTTCCAACCACCAGAGATTTTGGCCCCAATGCTCATTGATTCCCGTTTTGCCAGGGCTCCTGATGCCACACTCGATCGAATGCAGCATCGATGTCAAGGGCTGTCACTCTCACCTCACCTCTGGAATTCAGCTCTTTTGTCCATGGTTGAACCAAGGCTGTAATGAGATCAGGAGCTGAGTGGTCCTGGCGGAACCCAAACTGGGCGTCACTGAGCAGGTTATTGCTGAGTAGGTGCTGCTTGATAGCGCTGTTACTGACATATTCCATCACTTTACTGATGATCGAGAGGAGACTGATGGGCTGGTAATTGGCTGGATTGGATTTGTCCTGCTTTTCTTGTACAGGAAATACTTGGGCAATTTTCCACATTACCAGGTAGATACCAATGTTGTAACTGTACTGGAACAGCTTGACGAAGGGAGCGCAAGTCTTCAGTACTATTGCCGGAATGTTGTCAGGACCCGTAGCCTTTGCAGTATCCAGTGTCTTGAACCATTTCTTGATATCACGTGAAGTGAATCGAATTGGCTGAAGACTGGTATCTGTAATGCTGGGAACCACTGGAGGAGGCCGAAATGGATCATCCACTCAGTACTTCTGGCTGAAGATTGCTGTGAAAGCTTCAGCCTTGTCTTTTGCACGGATGTGCTGGGCTCTTCCATCATTGAGGATGGGGATATTTGTGGAGCCTCCTCCTCCAGTGAGTTGTCCAATTGTCCACCATCATTCACAACTGGATATGACAGGACTGCAGAGCTTAGATCTAATCCATTGGTTGTGGGATCGCTTAGCTCTGTCTATCACTTGCTGCTTTCACTGTTTGGCATGCAAGTAGTCTTGTTTGGTGGCTTCACCAGGTTGACACCTCATCTTCAGGTATGCCTGGTGCTGCTCCTGCCATGCCCTCCTGCACTCTCCATTGAACCAGGGTTGGTCCCCTGGCTTGATGGTAATGGCTGAGTGGGGGATATGCCGGGCCATGAAGTTACAGATTGTGCTGGAGTACAATTCTGCTGCTGCTGATGGCCCACAGGGCATCATGGATGCCCAGTCTTGAGTTGCTAGATCTGTTTGAAGACTGCCCCATTTAGCACGGTGAGAGTGCCACACAACACGACGGAGGTTATTCTTAATGTGAAGGTGGGACTTCATCTCCACAAGGCCTGTGCAATGGTCGCTCTTACCGATACTGTCATGGACAGATGCACCTGCAGCTGGCAGATTGATAAGGATGAGGTCAACTATGTTTTTCTCTCTTTTTTGTTCTCTCACCACCTGCCGCAGACTCAGTCTCCCATGTCCTATGTCCTTTAGGACCTGACCAGCTGAAACAGTAGCTCTACTGCATCAAAATCCCCCACCCAAAGTACATTTTGTGCCCTTGCCATCCTCAGTGCTTCCTCCAAGTGTTGTTCAACATGGAGAAGTAATGATTCATCAGCTGAGGGAGGACGGTATGTGGTAATCAGCAGGAGGTTTCCTTGCCCAAGTTTAACTTGAAGCCATGAGACTTCATGGGGTCCAGACTCAATGTTGAGGTCTCCCAGCACAACTCCCTCCCGACTGTATATCACTGTGCCACCCCCTCTGCTGGGCCTGTCCTGCTGGTGGGACAGACATGTCCAGGGATGGTGATGGTGGTGTCTGGGACATGGTAAGGTATGATTCTGTAAGTATGACAATGTTACTTAACCAGTCTGTGAGACAACTCTCCCAATTTTAGCACTGACACCCATATGTTAGTGAGGAAGACTTATTTACTGAGTGTAGTAGGTTTGGAACAAAATGGGTGACTTTAGGCTTATGGATCCCAAGTCTCTCCACCACTGGGAGTTTCTTCACCTCCATTCTGGGTTTATTGTAGATTCATTTATTGAAATGATGACTGGTCAACAACTCCATTATCATCACATAATGTAACTGTCAGGGTGGTAAAGATGAATTAGTTGGGTATTAGTCCTTTACAATTGAACAGTTTAAATTCTTCTCATTTTCCATGGTCCTTGTTTTCTTTTCATTCCACAGCATTATTTCACCTCATCCTTGTGGTTTTCTGCAGCCTTATAGTTTCCTCTTACCCAGGATCTCTATTACAGATTTACATCCTCTGAACGACTACCAAAGGCTAAGTCTTCTGGCAGACTATTAATCCATGACACAGGTAATGTTCTAGAGGTGGACATCAAATGCTAGCCTACCTAACAAGTCCTGTATTCTATGAATGAATTTTGAAAAAAGTGTGCCCCTATCCTCTGTAACTGGCTGAAGTCATACGGAGGAAGAAGGTCATGGTTGTTGGAGGTCAGTCATCTCAGCTCCAGGACATCTCTGCAGGAATTCCTCAGGCCCTCAGGTAGTGCTCTAGGCCCAACCAACTCCAGCTGCTTCATCAATGACCTTCCTTCCATCATAAGGTCAGGGGTGGGGATGTTCACTGATGATTGCACAACGTTTAGTACCATTTGCAACTCCTCAGACACTGATGCAGGTCCATGTTCAAATGCAACAAGACCTGGAGTCCAGGCTTGGGCTGACAGTGATAAGTAACATTTGTGCCACACACACTCCCTGATATTCAATGGTGTTACCATCACTGAATCCCCCACTATCAAATGTCCTTGCAGTTACTATTGACCAGAAACTCAACTGGACTTACCACATAAACATAGTAGCTACAACAGCAAATCAGAAGCTTGGAATACTGCAGTGAGTAACTCACCTCCTGACCCCCAAAAGCTTGTCCAATATCTACAGTGTGGAGCTGGAGGAGCACAGCAGGCCAGGCAGCATCAGAGGAGCAAGAAAGCTGATGTTTCGGGTTGGGACTCTTGTTCAGAAAAAAATTCCAGCATCGGCAGTTCTTAGTATCTCCATTATCTACAGGGTGTGATAAAACCCTCTGCAATCATCTGTGTGGGTGCAGCTCCAACCACACCCAAGAAGCTTGACACCTTCCAGAGGGTGACATGGTGCCTCAGTGGTTAGCACTGCTGCCTCACAGAGCCAGGGACCCGGGTTCAATTCCATTCTCGGACAACTGTGTGGAGTTTGCACATTCTCCATGTTTCTGCATAGGTTTCCTCCAGGTACTCCCATTTCCTCCCACAGATGTACAGGTTAGGTGAATTGGCTATGTCAAATTGCCCATAGTGTCCTGAGATGTGTAGGTGGATTACCCAAGGGGAAATACAGGGTTGTAGGGATAGGGTGAGTGGAGGGCTCTTTGGAAGGTCAGTGTAGACTCAATGGGCCAAATGGCCTGCTTCCACACTGTCGGGATTCTATTAAGCCAAAGCAGCATGCTTGATTGGGACCACCAACACAGCAGCGTGTACTATCTATAAGATGCACTGCAGAAAGTAACCAAAGATCCTCAGACAGCACCTTCCAAACCCACAATCACTTCCATCTAGAACGTCAGGGGCAGCAGTTACATGAGAACAGCAGCCCCATTTTTTTGCAATTTATTGTGACATGTATTTCTACAAAAAATATAGTAAAAGTGTTTAAGTCACCATACCATGACATTTATATTAATCACAGAAGTCATAGATAAGAAGAAAAAAAATTAAGACAAAGTTCATGTCAGTTCAATTAACAGCTCCTGAGTTTGGGAAGAGTCAAAGAAGATCACTATGCCAGTCTGAGATTGCCACCCAGGATGAGATCGCCATGCGGACTGCTGGAATATTAGGCCGGAAGGTCCTTCTGATGCAGGCCATCCACAGCAGCCACTGAAATCCACTCATTGCCGATCCTGGGCCGGAAGAAGACGTCTTCCACTGGATGCCAAAGCCGTTAATAGAAGATGAGATGAATACTGATAGTAAACATAATAAATGGAAACATTAAAAATAGAGAACTCCAAGTTCCCCTCCAATGCATTCACCACCCTGACTTGGAAATATATCATCGTTCTTTCAGTGTCGCGGGGTGAAAATCCTGGTATTCCCTCCCTAAGGGCATTGTGGGTCTACCTGCAGCAGTTCAAAAAGGCAGCTCACCATCAACTTCTCAAGGGCACCTAGGGATGGCCAGTCAGTGCTGCACAGGTCCGACATCCCGTGAATGAACTGAAAAAACTTTCCCCTGTAAACTGCTACTCTACCTCCTGCCACTATAGGAAACAGTTAGGTCTCCTCTGCCATTGCTGTACACCTTTTGTGATCAGAAGCCTCCTCCCTGTGAATTATCTGAGGTTTCTTGACAATGTTATTTTGTTTCCTGGGAGCATGAGGCTTTGACTTAGTCTTCCAGATGTTCAGCTGGGTTGAGGAAGTGGATGATTTGATGCTCAACTTGTTCAAACAACTGGACTTTGTTCTGAGTTAACATTTGGACCCACGACATAGGGAGCTTTGTAACCTGCTAAACACATTAAGTAGAATTGGACACAGCATTGCGGAGGACAGACTATTGGGACAAGATGGTAAAATTAAAACTACAACACCCAAACTATTAGTCCAGAGATTTGTGTAATTTTAATTAAATCTGTGACAGCACTTGATGAACTTACAGTGTTCATTTGGCACAAGAACAGGAGACACTTCATTTCTAACAAAAAATTTCTCTTTGAAAAGATTATATTAAAATATCGTGAATTCTAAAGACGTAATTGTGTCAATCCAAGCAGTTGTAGTTCACTGCTGGTTCACACCAAGCACTGAGAGAACATTTTGCGACAACAAGAACGTACAATGTGATGAGAGAACATGGAGCAACAAGAGGACACATTGCAGCGATGAGGAGACATGGTGCGGTGAAGCATTTCCTGCCTTCCACCTAAATTGAAGACAAAAACATGATCACAAAAACGCCAGCAAAACTGAATACATTGATTTCTCATTACATTACCTGCTCATTCCTTTTGTCAGTAACTGGGTTTATCATGGTTTTGGATATAGGAATTATTGGTAAGTAGGTGACAATGAGAAATACTATCTAAGCAATATCACTGCATGGAATAGATGAAACCACCACTTGTTGTAAGATCACACTCTGCAGTCCCCCATCTCAAGTACCTCCCTACTGACTGCCATCTCTGGTGAAATAGACAGTTTGTTCTCTAGCCAGAGAGAGAAAAGTTATACCATAGGTTTCAGTACAGCCATCCACATAACTAGATTAGACCAACAAAATCATTGTGTATTTAGCATCAGTTTTCTCCATATACACAAATATCACTTCAGGTTACTGATTGGCAAAGATAGATATGTAACTGAACAAACTTCATGTGCCAACATTGTAGCCAAAAGGCACACTCACTCTTTATGTACAATCTGCTAAGCACACAGTTACACCTTGACAGCCTAGCGTGACCTTTTCCAGGGATCATCAATCCCTAAAGGTTCATTGGCTCCTAAAGAGTCATCATACCCTCATGTTTACGGTAGAGATACAGCCTCAATTAAATTCAATTGGTTTGTGAGTGTTACCTGTCCAATCAAATTTGGTATCATTGAACAAAAAAAGACTCAAGGAGGCTTTGTAAAGAGGTCTGACATCAGAGGCGAAGACATTGGTCCAAATCTCCTGAAATCCAGAGAAGCAAAACCTGGAGCTAAGTTGCTGTTACAGATCTGCAGATGTTCTGACAAATGCACATGAACTAAAATTATGCAGGAATTTTAAACTTCATATAAGCTGATTTATGCTGCCCTAAAACAACAACATCAACACTGTCTTAGGCTTCTCTTGCAAAGAAGTGCGAATACAAACAAGCTAACATTGGCATTCTCCAAATCCCACATATGTCCCATCAGATGAGGTGAATAGGACATGTCATCAGAATGTCCAGCACAAGAGTGGCATAACAGGTGCTCTACCCAGAGCTACATGTCATTATAGCAAGTAGTTAAGCGAGGATTGGGCTTAACTAATTGACTGGGCTGGTCTGAAGGGACTGGTATGTGGAAACAGCTGTAAGACTGAGTAGTAACTTCAAGTCCTACCTGAAAAGGTTGGTTAGAAAATATCCAAAACATGCATCCTTCGGGGTACATTTGCTGCAGCAGTTAAAGAAAACTAAGGCTGAGAAGCAAAGGGCTGTTGTGCTAAAGTGATGGTGTTCATACTTCTGAGCCAGGAGGCCCAAGTCTAAGTATCACCTGCTCCAGAGATGTGTCATAATTGAACAGGTTGATTAGAAAGCACTGTAAGACTGATTAGTTGAGAAACTCTACGAACAAAGAAAGGTTTCTTAGTTTCTATCTCGCTGACTGGATGTATCTATTTGAGAAGGAGCAACACTTGACCTTGTCTTGGGAAGTAAGGCAGGGCAAGTGACTAAGGTGTCAGTGGAGAGCACTCTGGGGCCAGTGATCATAATTCTATTAGTTTTAAAATAGTTACGGAAAAGGATAGGCCTTGTCCGCAAGTTAATGTTTTAAATTGGAGGAAGGCCAATTTTAACAGTATTAGGCAAGAACTTTCAAAAGTCGATTGGGAGAGGCTCTTTGCAGGTATAGGAACAGCTGGAAAATGGGATACCTTAAAAAATGAGACAACGAGAGTCCAGAGATATGTTCTGTCTGGGTGAAGGGCAAGGCTGGTAGGTCTAGGGAATGCTGGATGACTAGAGAATTTGAGATTTTGGTCAAGAAAAAGAAGGAAGCATATGTCAAGTATAGAGAACAGGCATCGAGTGAATCCTTAGAGTATAAAGGCAGTGGGAGTATACTTAAGAGGGAAATCAGGAGATCAAAAAGAGGACATGAGATATCTTTGGCAAATAGGGTTAAGGAGAATCCAAAGGGATTCTACAGACACATTAAGGACAAAAGGGTAACTAGGGAGAGAATAGGGCCCCTTAAAGATCAGCAAGGCCACCTGTGTATGGAACCGCAGAGACGGGGGAGATGGTAAATGAATATTTTGCATCAGTGTTTACTGTGGAGAAGGATACGGAAGCTAGAGAATGTGGAGAGATAAATAGTGAGATCTTGAAAAGTGTCCATATTACAGAGGTGGTGCTGGATGTCTTAAAACACATAAAAGTGGATAAATCCCCGGGACCTGATCAGGTGTACCCTAGAACTTTCACTTGCTGAGATATTTGTATCATCGATAGCCACAGATGAGGTGCCAGAACACTGGAGATTGGCTAACGTGGTGCTACTATTTAAGAAAGGTGGTAAGGAAAAGCCACGGAGCTATAGACCAGTGAACCTGACCTCGATTGTAAATGGGTTGTTGGAAGGAATTCTGAGGGACAGGATTTACATGTATTTGGAAAGACAAGGACTGATTAGGGATAGTCAACATGGCTTTGTGCGTGGGAAATCGAGTCTCACCAACTTAACTGAGTTTTTTGAAGAAGTAACGAAGAAGATTGATGATGGCAGACAAGTGGACGTGACCTATAGGGACTTCAATAAGGCGTTCGACAAGGTTCCTCATGGTAGACTGGTTAGCAAGGTTAGATAAACATGGAATACAGGGAGAACCAGCCATTTGGATACAGAACTGGTTCAAAGGTAAAATATAGAGGTTGGTGATGGAGGGTTGCTTTTCAGACTGGAGACCTGTGACCAGTGGTGTGTCACAAGGATCAGTGCTGGGTCCACTGCTTTTTGTCATGTATATAAATTATTTGGATGTGAACATAGGAGGTATGGTTAGTAAGTTTGCAGACGACACCATAATTAGTGGAGTAATGAATAGAAAAGAAGATTACTTCAGAGTACAACGGGACCTTGATCAGATGGGCCAATGTGCCAAGGAGTGGCAGATGGAGTTTAATTTACATCAATATGAGGTGCTGCATTTTGTAAAGGCAATCAGGGCAGGACTTATACACTTAATGGTAAGGTCCTGGGGAATGTTGCTCAACAAAGAGATCTTGAAGTGCAGGTTCATAGTTCCTTGAAAGTGGAGTTGCAGGTAGACAGGATAGTGAAGAAGGTGTATGGTATGCTTGCCTTTATTGGTCAGTTCATTGAGTGTAGGAGTTGGGAGGTCATGTTGCGGCTGTACAGGACATTGGTTAGGCCACTACTGGAATACTGCATTCCATTCTGGTCTCCTTGCTGTAGGAAGGATGTTGTAAAACTTGAAAGGGTTCAGAAAAGATTTACAACGATTTGTCAGGGTTGGAGGGTTTTATCTATAGGGAAAGGCTGAATAGTCTGAGGCTATTTTCCCTGGAGTGTCAGTGGCTGAGGAGTGACCATATAAAGGTTTATAAAATTATGAGGAGCATGGATAGCGTAAATAGATAAAGTTCTTTCCTTGGGGTGGGGGTGTCAAAACTAGAAGACATAGGTTTAAGGTGAGAGGAGAAAGATATAAAAGGGACCCAAGGGTCAACATTTTCATGCAGAGGGTGGTGTGTGTATGGAATGAGCTGCCAGAGGAAGTGGTGGAGGCTGGTACAATTACAACATTTAAAAGGCATCTGGATGGGTATATGAATAGGAAGGGTTTAGAGGGATATGGGCCAAATATTGGCAAATGGGACTAGATTAATTTAGGAAATCTGGTTGGCTTGGACGATTTGGACCAAATGGTTTGTTTCTCTGCTATGCAGCTCTATGACTCTGTGTCTCCAAAAGGTAGGATGAGCCAAAGAAGCTGCAGCTGAGTGTGTGATATGGAACGAAACAACTAGAGAAACAGAAAAATTGGACTGCTGAACCTAAAATGCCAAAGGTCTTGCAGTAATAACATGCAACACAAACAGAGATCCAAAATAGTGCCAGAGTGGTGACTCTTCGCAAATACCATGGAAAACAATAATTTTCACTTTATTTCAGTACATGTCATAGAATCCCTAGAGTGTGGAAGCTTGCCATTCGGCCCATCAAGTCCACACCAACATGCCAAAGAGCATCCCACCTAGATCCCCCTACCTAAGCTACACATCCCTGGACACTACGGGCGATTTAGCATAGCCAACCCATCTAACTACACATCTTTGGACCGTGGGAAGAAACCAGAGCACTCAGACGAAACACACGCAGACACAGGGAGAATGTGCAAACTCCACACAGATAGTCGCCTGAGGGTGGAATCAAACCTAAGTCCCTGGTGCTGTGAGGCAGCAGTGCTAACCACTGTGCCACCCAACATATAGGGTCACAATGTGACAATAAATCTAATTTAATCTATTTCCACAACTACCTTCAACATTTAATCTTTTCGCAGCACGGTGGCTCAGGTGACTGTCTGTGTGGAGTTTGCATATTCTCCCTGTATCTGTGTGGGTTTGCTTTAGTTCCCTCCAATCCAAAGATGTGTAGGTTAGGTGGATTGGCAATGTTAAATTCTCAACATTATCCCACTGAGACTGCATGTCAAGCCTTTAAAAGTATTGCAACTCCTTGGTTAGAATTGTAAGAGTGCAGAAGGAAAAGAAAAGAGCTGTGAAAGCAAGGGATGAAGTGAAAATATGTTTGAGAGTGGGACAGTACATTACCCTTGGTGTCGTTCCAGCTTGTGACTCCACTTGGGGATCTGACCCCCATTTTGGGAAGCCCTGATCTAAAACATGCACTGCAGTAACTCAACTATTAATGCTGTTAGCATCTTCCAAACCCACGACCATCATAATCTAAAAGGACAAGGGCAGCAGACATCACCTGCAAACTCACTTCCTGGCTTCCAAAAGCCTGTCTACATCTACTCCCCACTTGCCCTGAATGGGTGCAGCTTCAACAACACTCAAAGAGTGTGACACCATCCAGGATAAAGCAACCGACTTGATTGGCACTACATCCGCAAGCATCCACTCCCTCCAACACCGATGCTCAGTAGCAGCAATGTGTACTATCTACAAGGTGCACTGCAGAAATTCATCAAAGATCCTCAGACAGCACTTTCCAAACCCATGACCACTTCCATCTAGATGGACAAGAGCAGCAGACATATGGGAACACCACCACCTCCAAGTTCCCTTCCAAGACTCTTACCGTCCTGACTTGGAAATATATTGCCGTTCCTTCACTGTCACTGGGTCAAAGTCCTGGAATTCCCCCCCTATTAGCATTGTGGGTCAACCCACAGCAGAAAAATTTTTCTGAAGAAGGGTCTAGGCCCGAAACATCAGCCTTCCTGCTCCTCTGATGCTGCTTGGCCTGCTGTGTTCATCCAGCTCTATACCTTGTTATCTCAATAATTGATGGTATCTGAGTTTGCTTCTTTTTGAAGTACAGAGCAGCTGATGCCATAAGTAACATTTATTTGAAAACATATAAGAAACATGGAACTTATCGATGTAGGATTTAACCTAAAGAAGTCAAAATATCATTGTGAAATTGCAGCTGAAGGTGGATTTTGATTGGACAGTACAATGCTCCCAATAAAACCTCCATGTCTATCTGATAAAGATGACCATAAGGAACGATTTGGGGCTGCATCAGGAAAACCTGATCAGTTGCTGAAGAGTACAGGGTTGGGGAGAATGGAAGGAGAGCAGGATATATTTGCTCATTGCCCCAGAAGCTGATCAGACACAGAGGTAGCGGAGTACCAAGGCAAACTGACCAAAGGCCCACCTTGATTCTTTAGGACTTTATCTTATAGCCCTCATACTCCATTACCTCCTCAAACATTTCACACTCAGTGCCAAGTCATGAAGCCCATTCAGCGCTGTGGTACCTTATAACCCCCATTTCGACTCATTGCCAAATCATGCTGTAAGACCCTTTATCACCTACATGCCAACACAATACTAATTTAGACAGCCCATCCACTCCAATGTCCCCTGATAACTTTCATGGTAACCCAGTTAGAAATTGTGACCGCCACCAACCCCAATGTTCTCTCACACCCTCTGTGCAAACTCATCACCCATCCACACCCATTCACCCAGTATACATTCTGTACAGAACCAATAAACACTACAGTAAATATGGCATTTGTGGAGCTGCTGAGTAAAGTATGCTTTCATAACCTTAAAAACAAAATATCATTGCTGGAATCCTATAAAAGTGTCAATCAACTAAACTATTAAAGTATCAATAACAGAAGCTGTTTGTGCTTAATGCCTCTTAATTCTGTGCAATTATTACTGAAGCATTGACAAAATTGATCGCAGAAAAAGTAGCAGATTAGAATCTCATGTTAATGTCAATCAAGAAAAGTCAACACAACTCTCCAGCTGCTGGGTATAAGGTTAATCCTGTAATGAGAGTTTGGACTCTCAGCCAAACATTATTTCACTGTTATTGGCGTTGAGTTCAGCACCTTATCCAACGACTAACTCTTCATCTGTCACGTGTTAACATGGGTATAAAAAATCTATTCTCAGCTTGTCCATATCTCTGTATGTTGCTGCAGGAGAGCAGTAACTAACAGTCAGGAATAGTCTGGTTGAGCCTTCACTCTGGTTGTACATAGTTCTCTTGTGTGCATAACTCAATGAATGTTGAATCTTCCAGGAGCACAAATAATGCACGTAGACTCTGTGCCCTGTACTTACCCCTAGATGCCGTGTTGCTGAGCTTGCAGCCGCTGTCTCTCTTTGATCAGTAAGATGACCCCTACAACAGCACTGATAATTCCCAGGATAATTCCCAGAACACAGATCACTGTCTCAGGATCAGACTGTTCCTCGGGCACTTCAGGTTCTGCAAAGAGAGAGACAAGAGAAGAATAAGTCTCTCTTAGCAAATGCCAAGGCCTACAAGGCTATGGGTCAAGTGCTGGAAAATGGGATTAGAATAGTTAGATTGTTGTTTTTGACCAGCACAGATGAAATGGGGCAAAGGGCAACATATGATGAAAATAACAAATTCACATGACTGGTTGGGAGCCTTGCTCATCACTATATACCCATTGGAAATTTGGAAAACAAAACAATGCATCTACAGACAGAGAAACTGAATAGGGAGAAAACAGGATGGAAATTCTTGTTTCAAATTGCACTAGGATGTAGGATGAATGATGAACTATATGGTCGCTAAGTTGAACAGTCTCTGGCTTTCTGTATTTTCCCCGATGATGAGGTTGGGAGACTGTAGTAATTGGAACCAGGTGAATCTTGTTGACTACAAGATCCATCATTGGGTATGTTAACCTGGGCCAATCAGGAAAGCCCTGGCTAACCAATATTAACAGGAGATTTAAACAGGGGATTTAGAATCTCATCTGTTCAAATAAAAATTAACAGGAGATTTAGAACTAGCAAGAACTGCAGAAATTGGGTCAGAGATAACACAGCCCGGAGCTGGATGAACACAGCAGGTCAGGCAGCTTCAGAGGAGCAGGAAAGCTGATGTTTCGGGTCCCAAAACATCGACTTTCCTGTTCCTCTGATGCTGCCTGACTTGCCGTGTTCCTCCAGCTCACACTGTTGTCTAGGAGATTTAGAGTCTCCTCTGTTGAGGACTGACTCTGGGCTGGCTGGCCCACAGTCAGTGGTACTGTGCACAGGTAAATAAAATGTGACTTGGTGACAGGATACTGGCCTCTGTGCAGTTAATTCCGAGACCATGACATGAACAGGTCACCATCCTGTTAAGGAGCTAATTTACATCACAGGGGGTTCATTGAGAGCCTGTCTTCAGTTTTTATTTTCAATAGGGTATCAATATTCAGCAGTAGGTGGGTTTTAGTTTGGCTTTGTGAGGTGAAAACCATGAGATGGAGGTAGTGAGAAGAAAAATGTTTTTTTCCTCAGAATCTAACAGGTTTAATGCTAATTCTCACTTTATTGCATATAGCCATTATCTCCAAATATATCTTCAAGTAAAAAACTTATATCTTTAACTAGACTGCTTAACGTGACTAAATTTGATTGATATTTTTCAATCTGTGCTTACGGTCTGTTAAAATGATACACATTTAAAGCTATTTTTTAAAAAAGTATGCCCATTTTTGTAAAAACAAGCTTGCAGAGTGCAGCTTCTAATCGTTTGAAATACAGCCCATACCCATCAAATTTGTATACTTTTTAAATGGCCTAACCTGGAATTATATTTAATGCAATGCTCATTATACATAGAAAGATAGGAGTTAGAAGCAGGAGTAGGCCACTTAGCCCCTTGAGTCTGCTCAGCCATTTAATTAGACAACTGCTGATGTGCACTGCTGAACTCCACCGTTCCACCTCCCAATAACCTCTCACCTCTTGTTTATCAGGAACCTATTGTCCTCTGCCTTAGCAACAGTCAAGAACACAGCTTCCACTGCCTTTTGAGGAAGATAATTCCAAAGACTCTCAATCCTCTGAGGGGAAAAATTCCATCTTTAGTGGATGACCCCTATTTTTGAACAAGTTTTAAACCCAACTTTTAAATGCACTTCTAGATTCTTCCATCAGAGGAAACATTCTTTCAACATTTGCCCTGTCAAGACCCCTTGAGGAACTTAGTTGCTTCAGTTAAATCACCTCTTACTCCAGTAACACAAGCCTAGGTTGTCTAAAATTTCCTTAAAGCAGAACACATCCATTCCAAGAATTAGTCTAGTGAGTTATTTGAACTGCTTCCAATATATTTACATCCTTCCTTAAATACGGAGATTAATACTGTGCTTAGTCACCAAAATGCAGTCTCATAAATGCCCTGTACAAACACTTGGTGTTCGATTCTCCTTACTTTTAAACAGTCAAATGTATTAGGTTTCCTAATTATTTGCTGGACCTGCATACTTATCTTCTGTGATTCATGCCCAGGGACACCTAGATCCCTCTGCATATCAGAGTTCTTCAATCTCAGACCATTTAGATAATGTCTCTTTTCTATTTTTCATTTCAAAGTGGATAATTTCATATTTTCCCACATTATTCTCCACTTTGGTGGATCTTTGCCCAATCACTTAACAGGAGTGGGCTGAAATGGCTTATTTTTTTGATTAGTAAGATGTAACAAGTGGCCATAGCAATCAGTCTCTGCAGCCGCAACTAACACCATTTATGTAAATGAATTGTTGAAGGGACTGAAGGTATGATTGTGTTTATCATTTCCATTCAACCCACTTCCTGCATGTAGGTGATCTCTCTTTGTTGTGCCCATATGACTGTTAGATAATAGAGCCACCCCTCCACAATTTCTAAGTTTCCTAACCTTTCTAAATGTCATGTACCCTTCAAACTTCGTGGAGCATGAGCGGAGTCAGCCATGGCAATGAGGGAATGGTTTGTCCATCTGCTCTGCGACCACTAACAAGTTGGCAGGACAAGGGGGCTGCTGGGTCTGGTAGCTGGATGGAGAAGCTTCATAAGCATGTTAGCTGTAGGCTCCAGCAGGACATTTTCAAATTGTGGACAGTGAGATTGTTTGTAGGATCTAACCACATGTGGTCAGGATTCCAGCAGCACATTGTGGATGATTTGCTTGGGCAGTGGCTTTGGCAGCGATGGATCCTTGGGGTGGCTTCTACAGAGTCTTGCGACCCAGTGGTCTGGCGTGTCAACTTTCCGCAGAGGTGGAGAATATGGATGCTGTCTTTTCTTAAACCCAGCAATCGTGAATTGAACCAAGATCGAGTTTGTCTTAATTTTTTATTTTTCTTATCTATGACTTTGTTTTGATATAGGTGTTGGAGTATGGCAACTTAAACATTTTTCACTGTATTTTTTGTAAAAATACAAGTGACAATAAATTACGATTCTATTCTAAATTCAGGTCCAAATCCATGTTTTTGTAGTTGCTATCAGATTATACTTACTTATTTCAATTGGCACGATCAGTTCATCTATTTTATTTTGAATGCTATATATAGACAGATATGGAACCTTTAGTTTTGTCATTATATCATTTTTGCAACCTTTAGCCTTATCTGTAGTCATTGGAACCAGGTGGATCTCATTGACTGGGAGGTCATTAATTGGGGTTGTTTACCTGGGCCAATATAACCAGGAGTCAGAACCTCCTCAGTTCAGGGGACTAACTTGGAGCTGGCTGGCCATGGCCAGTGTATTTTGCATAAGTAAATAAAAGGTGATTTGGTGAAGGGATACCAGCCTCTGTGCAGTTATTTCAGTGGTGACAGAAGAAAACAGGATGTGCCTGAAGAATATTCAGTCACAACTGTCATCTTTGACTTGGGGTGAGCATTTCTAGCATCTTGCCTTTATTTGGGAAGCTTGAATCGTTTGATCCTGCTGTCGAACACTGAACCCAGTCTGTGGAAAGAATGTGATTTTTTTTCTGAGAAAATGACATTGGGGCAGATAAAAAGTAATGAGTAATCCTTCTGACTGTTGTGGACCCGTAGCATTTTCAGTTTAAAGGGGCTTCACTTACCCAGAGGCACCAGATGCTTAAAACCTTCCAAGAGTTGGCAGAGTTGGTTGAAGGCATTTTATGACCCAAACCTCCTCTAATTCTGAGACACTATCAGTTTTATTCAGCTGTTCGAGAACCAGGGAAATCTATATCGGATGATGAGTTTAAGACAACTGGCAGAGGCATGTGATTTTTGGTTAATTCTGAATGAGATGCTGAGAGACCATTTGGTATGTGGGATTAATGACGTAACCATGCAGAAGCGCCTATGAGCTGAGGCCCAACTTCAAATAGGCACTACAACTGGCTTTGTCATTAGAAAATGTGGTAAGTGGAGCATGTGAGCTACAGGATATCTCAATGGAAGTGAACACCCTCAACTGTCTGGCTAAGCTTGGGGAACAGTACTTGAGTGAAGGCAATGGCAGAGCCTCACACAGGGCACATCCTAAGCAGAGGAACTCTAGGCCAGCCCACATCAGAACCCTACAAACAAAGCTGAGCATCGGCCAAGTGGCTACAAGATTCTTCAGGATCTGGGCCAGCAAGCCCCATTGTCATTGCTGTCAGTATGTGGACTCAAGATAGTAAAGAAGTCCTACAGGGCCTGTCTTGAGTAGGAAAACTCAGAGGCTGGTACCTAGTAGAGTGCACACCTTGGAAAGATCCCCTACATGTGGGTTGGAACAATTAAATTGCTTAGTGACATCCAAATTGGAGGCAATTAAAATTAATGTTTGGTTAAGTAGTCACCCAGTTCTCATGGAGGTTGATACCAGTGCAGCTGTATCTGTGGTTGCAGAATCTCTCTTTAACAAGATTCATTTGGGTTTCCAACCCTTAGGTTTGCGGAAAACCTCAGCCAGAGTGAGAACATATACTGAGCAACCATTGCAGATTGAGGTACAACTTTAGTTCCAGTCTCCTGTGAGAAGCAGAGATAACAAGGTGTAGAGCTAGATGAACACAAGCAGGATCAGAGGAGCAGGAAGGCTGATGTTTCGGGCCTAGACCCTTCTTCAGAAATCTGAAGCATTTCTGAAGAAGGGTCTAGGCCCGAAACGTCAGCCTTCCTGCTCCTCTGATGCTGCTTGGCCTGCTGTGTTCATCCAGCTCTACACCTTGTTGTCTCAGATTCTCCAGCATCTGCAGTTCCTACTAAGTCCTATGAGAAGCAATTGGTGCAGTTATCGCTGATTCTAGTAAGAGGCTCAGGCTAAGCCTAATGGGGCAGAAGTGGCTGAGAAATACCAAGGAGTTTTTCAAGAAGGGCTTGGGACTATCAAAAGGGCCAAAGCCACTTTACATCATGACCAGGAAGACATTCCAAGACTTTGCAAGGCCCGCCTGGTGACATTTGCCTTGCGGGCAAAAGTCAGGAGGCTGGAGAGGGAAGG